TAACACACAGCTCCACTCAGAGAGGGTCCTACTGAAGCTCACAAGTGATAGACTGGGCTCACACAAAGACGAGTTGGAGGACCCCTGAAAACTTCTCTTGCTCACCCCTCATGCCCTGGTTGGTGGTTCATCCCGTAGCATCCCCACAAAAGGGCCACCCAGTCATCACTTGACATATCAGACAGGGGAACTCAGAACTTCCCAGGGGAGCCATGAACTCAGAGCCAGGAGACCAGGTGTGCATACTGGCTTTACCTGTAATGAGCCCTACAAGCCTGGGCCAATCAGTTAACATCTTAAACTTCAGTTTCCTCCTCCAAAATGGAGATGGTATTGCCCAACCAGCTGACTCACCAGGTAGGTGAGGATCAGACAATAGCATGGAATTAAAGGAACAATTAACTGTACATGCTATTTCAGAAAATGATCAACTGTAAAATTTGATATGAAGCATCCTTCACCCATAACACCTAGTGAGCTCTTTGAGTCCTAGGGTCATAGAGTGTCCACATTATTTTCTCACATGCTTCACCTCCCCAACTCACAGAACTGCCAACTGGTCAGCTCTCCTGGGCAGTGCTCATCTCTCCAGCCACTCTACTGCTTCTCTCAATCACCACAGTCAATGTACCTCATGGCTTCATATCATCTTACAGTAGAAGTGTAGAAGCAGCTCAAAGCCCCCAGGTTGCAAGTTACATAACCCAAGCACACCAGATGAACCAGGCATGCAACCATTGGTGGAACCTAGGTGCTTGGACTAAGGGATAGGGATGGATTAAGATGTGGATACCACATGGCATGATCCATGATCCAACAGCATCATTTCATGACATGATCCAATCAGATCAAGCCTCCCACAGTACAACATTGCAAATGGCCAATCAGATCGCACTATTACCCTCTGCCTACAAAATCCATCTCAGCTTCCAAGAGCCTGACTCCTGTCTCCTTGTTCAGTAGCCTTGCAACGAAATTTTCTCTCTAGAAAAACATGATGCTTCAGTGTTTGGTTTTCTCTTGTGCATAGGCAAACAGACCAAGTTCTGTTCAGTGACACTTTTTTGCTAATTTCATGATTCTGTTTGTTTGTTTGCTTAATGCCCCACCTCCCTGCCCCACTCACAAACAATTTACTGGAGCCTCAAGAGGACAGAGTGTGGCTCTCTTGTGCCTTGCCTTATCGTAATTGCTTAGCTCACTTTCCTAAACATAGCAAGTGTTCAATAAATATCTGTTGCATGACCTAGTGGTCAACTACCTCCTATATCACACTCTACTGCTGAGAGTTCAAGGTGGATGAAGGTCAAGATAACTGAAATCCATTGTGATATTTCCACTTCTGTCCTTGCAGTTGTCCTGAAAGTCATGCGGGGTGGCATTGGTTAGTCACTTCCTCCTCTAGTCAAATGCTCAAGAAACAGTCTGAAAATAAGTCCAAAAACTGAGTATACACCCACCCTCAATGCTCCAGAGCCTTGAGAGGAAAAGCAGCCAGACATTTCCAGACACCAACTATTTCCCCTTTGAGCAGTGACATTTCTTTTAATTTTTTTGGATGAAAATGTCACCAAGATATATCATGCACACCTTTCTCCTAGGAGGTGGCACGGTAAAGTAAAATGAGTGTTGGCTTTGGGTCATTTGAACTGAGTTTAAATTTTGCCTAAACCTCTTGCTTGCTTTATAGCCTGAGTCAACCCACTTAGCTTCTGTTTGTCTAAATTTCTATATCTGCAAAATGAGGAGACTATTATCACAATGTCATGAGAATACAGGTGATGTTAGATATAGAGACAAACAGGGAGCAAGTGTCTGTTCCTTAAATGAAAGCTAGCAGGCTCCTGTAAGTGGCAGACCTATATTTTCGGGGCAAAGGAGGACCAAGTAATAAACATGCATGGCTGTGAGAGATGACAGCATGGAGACCTACTTGATTTTTTTTTTTTTTTTGAGATGGAGTTTCGCTCTGCCACCGAGGCTGAAGTTCAATGGTACAGTCTCAGCTCACTGCAACCTCTGCCTCTCAGGTTCAAGAGATTTTCCAGCCTTAGCCCCCCGAGTATCTGGGATTACAGGCAGGTACCACCACATCAGGCTAAATATTTTGTATTTTTAGTAGAGATGGGGTTTCACCATGTTGGTAGGCTGGTCTCAAACTCCTGACCTCAGGTGATCCACCCACCTCAGCCTCCCAAACTGCTGGGATTATAGGCTTGAGCCACCGTGCCTGGTAGACCTACTTGATTTTTGAGTCCCTGTGTCTGTTTTGTAGGATTGCGCTATTCCTTTGCACCCTGACAACTGTCATTTCTCACTGCTACTGGGAAACTTTCATCCCCTTATCCCTCCCCATAATTTGCTGAGTCTTAGAATACATGAGCTTGTGAAACAGACATGCAAACCAAGAGGATAGAGATTCTGAGGGAAAGTGTAAGGGCTTCTGGGTGTGGAAACGGGAAAAGTTTTCATGTGCATTTTGCGAGGCCCCCTTTGCTGGGTGTGAAGGAGCTTGGACCCTGGGGTCAGGTAGGCCTGGATGTCACACCTGCCTTACTCTTGGTACTTCCATTTTGTTCAGCCTCTATGAAATAGTTACTGGTCCTACTTTACAGATAAGGAGAAATGAGTCTCAGAGAGATTAAGCATCTTGGCTAAGGTCATGCAGCTGTGTTACAACAGGATTGGATGCCAGGTTTGTTGCCACCAAACTCTAATTCTTTCCATGGCCCCACCCACAGCCAGAACATTGGGAAGCTGGACTAAATCCAAACACATTGAAAGGCTATGGATGACAGCTGGATTGGGTCCCTTAGCTGATTGTTCCGTAGGCTTAGTTAACTGGGTTTGCAATATCAAGATCATGGACTGTGGGTCAGATTGGGGCTGTGTTCTGGGTTAGCTGTTAACTTGCTGTGCAACTATAACAAGCTTCTTCCCTTCTCTGGGCTGTAATTTTGCTATCTGAGGAGCTTCCTAAGATTTTGAAACAGTGACCAACACTGTGGTATAAAAGAAGAGAGAATTGTGAAAGGGAATAAGGCTTTGGTGGCTAAAACGGAACATGATTTGACACCTGCCTTCAAACTCAGCTTTCCCACTTACTGTCCGTATGCCCTGGGGCATTTCTGTGCCTCAGTTTCTTCATCTGCATCTGAAAATGAGGACAGTATCTCACAGTATATAGAGAAAATTAAATGGCAATGGCACTTCAGAATAACTGGAAGAAAAAGCAGGGGATTTATAACTCAATTTGACTTAAGATCCAACAATCTCCTTTGACTTATCACAGATAGGATTGTCCTAGAACAATCAATGCATAGAATGTGAGACAAAAGCTCTCTGGTCAGATGCAATGACAGAGGACTCACCTGACTTAGGGGGAACATCACCCAAAGTCTTCAGACTACATAGGAACTTCTAAATTGGTGGTGGTTGGTTCTGTCTACTCCAATGCCTATCATTTCTAGATAACGTTGGATATAGGATGGACAATAGCTATCTAGACCATCTTCACAGCCTCCTTCTGGGCTGGTGTCCTGGCCTCCAGTGACACAAGGGGTAAGGCTGCACACATCTCTCTAGTGGCTACTCATGTCCTTCAAACAGGCCTGAACCTCTCAGAGACACCTGCATTCTAATCACAGCAATCCCACCTTGACATTTATGTTAAAGCGAACAACCGCCCTGGTTGCTCCTGGTTACAACACGTCGTCCCTCTCCTCCATGCCTTTGCTCACACTGGGCACTCTTACAACGTTGGTGAAATCTTATGCATCATTATACAGTTCAGTGTCTCCTCCACTGGGAATTCTCTCCTCTGAGCTCTTATAGTGACCTATGCGTATCTCCACAAGGACACACTGTATAGTGTAATTATGTTTCTGTCTCCCCAACTAGAGTTTGACTTTCTTTAGGACATGACTTCATGGCTAGCTCACTGCCATGTTTCAGGCACTAAAGCATTGCCCAAGATGGTGGATTCTTAATAAAAATGTTTGCTAAATGAATGAATGACTTTTAGGTCCTGGGTCTGGCCTCATCCCTGGCACATAAGGTACTCAGTTTATGCTTGATGAACTGTACAGAGCAATTTGAAAGTTTTTCCACTCCATGCTCTGCTTCATTTTAAGGAACTGTAGTCCTCCTTCCTGGAGTTCTGGGCAAATCCAGCACTTAGTATCTCTGCCCTTGTGCAAAGTGTAGCTTGTTTAAAAGAGATGCCTGTGCTCCTAATGTCATGACTGGACACTGGTCAGTTTAGCTATGGAGATGTATCATTGTATTCCTGAACTCTGACCATCTCTTGTTAAAATCAGCAATTTTACCAGACAGCAAGTGCCCTTGTGGGACTCTAACACCTTACAGCCTTAAACTGGACCAGACCTCAGGTCTTGGCACATTTGTGATCTCTGAGCAGGTTGTTTGCAGAATTCAGCAAGTCTGTCTATCTGGCTGTTACTGGCAGTGACACAAGGAAAAGTGATCTTGCCAGGAGACTATGCTCCAGGCCCCCAACCCCACTAACTAAATTTACCATAAACACATTCCAGGAAGTTTTATTCTGGACCATCTCAGGTCCCTATTAGGATGTACCTTGTATTTTGTTGTTTTTGTTTTTCAGACAGGATCTCACTCTGTTGCCCAGGCTGGAGTGCAGTGGTGTGATGACAGCTCACTGCAGTCTCGGTCTTCCAGGCTCAAGTGATCTTCCCATATCATCCTCTCGAGTAGCAGGGACTACAGGAGTGTGCTACCACTTCCACCTAATTTTTGAAAACATTTTTCTTTGTAGAGACAGGGTCTGCCTATGTTGCCCAGGTTTGTTTTGAACTCAGGGGTTCCCTTTGAACTGGGCTTGGGGCTGCTGACCTTCCTCCCAGGAAGCGTTGCTCCTGGCCACTATTGACCATGGGCATTGCCAGTCACATGATTTAACTGGAAGCCCATTTGACACAGAGAAGGAAAACTGCAGACTCCAAGTGAAGAACCATTCTCACCTGACAGGGGCTCCCCGGGACTGGGCGGGTTTCAGCATCACTGTGATGGTCGTGTCTGTCTCATTCAATGGGGTGTCTGTGTCGTACTCAGGCATCGACGGAGCTGGGCGGGAAACAGAGAGTGCAGGTGAGTTCAGCACAGGCTTACCACCTCCCCTTGCTGCCATCCTTGAAGACCAGCATGACTAGAGAGAGGATGCTCAGAAAAGGGAAGGATGAGAAGCCTTCCAAGCCTTCAGTAAAGGAGGCCCTGGTGCTCAACCTGCCCACAGTAGGTTTCTTCAAGGGGCAGTAGCGTGGGGATGGGTGGCAATGATATGTCAGGTAATCTGCATGAACCAAAAAGTTCCACACCTAATAAAGAGATACATCCAGGGAATATAAGTGCTAATGAAGAAGTGAAAGCAGACTCAGCCTTGCTAAACACATTTAAAATGCAAATTAAATCAATTATGAACTACTTCCCCTCTACCTTTTTTTTCTCCTTCGTGAGACCCCTTTCCCTAACACTCAGCTGATAGGAAGGCAACTATATCTAATCCTTTGGGAAGGTAATTTAGCCATTTGTAGTAACAGCTATTAAAATTCACACCCTTTTTAATTCACTTTTTCCAACTTCTGAATTTGATCCTAAAGTTATAATCCAAACCCATGATTTAAACTTTATTTTGTAACATGTTTATTGAAGCGTTATTTTGTAAAAACACGGAAGCGCCAAATATCCAAACACAGGGGAATGTATAATTAAATTACGTCCATCCACTTGACAGAACATTATAATGAAAGCAATGTAGCAACATAGGAAACAGTTATGGGATAAAGATAAGAGAAAACATTAAGCTACAAAATAAAATCATGTTTTTCTGCAAAACCATGTGGAAAATACATATATATGCGGACCAAAATTGCATAGATATTTAGGATAATGAGAGCTGTAGAAAAGGTTCTGAAATAATTCTGCATCGAAGCTGTCTAGTGGTAGAGGGGGCCCTACTGGTGACAGCAGTCTCTAATTTTGGACTGCTGTGGCCCTACAATACTAATTCATTTGTTCATTCATTCATTCATCAGGTATTTCATGAAAACCTGTGCTAATGTCTTATACTGGCACAAAGAACGTTCCTGAAAATGAATTTAAAAACCAACCTGAATGCAATATACATTATCTCCACACACACACACACACACACACACACACACACACACACTATTTAATGCAATCCTGTGGGCAAATTATTAAGTGATGTGCCACCTAATTAATCTAATTTTTACTCTTTCGGAAGTTCATCACTTAGATTTTCTCTGTAGAAGACAACAATGATAACTCACTAGGGACTGGATTGTCCTAATTCCACCCCTATCACAGGGTGACAATTCAAGAAAAATTTCCACTTCAAGGAAAATTGGCAAGCGGGGGTGAAACAACATTTCTTCCTTTTCCCTTTCTAGGAGAGATACCTGAAATTTTGGTGGCGATCCGAGTGGTGACAGGGGGCCCAAAGCCCTTTGCTGTGCTGGCCTTGATGGTAAAGGAATAGGTGGTCCCTGGGTACAGACCCACAAACAGGTGGTGGGTTTCATTCCGGAGCTTGAACACTTTCCCCCTCTGGCTGGACAGGTCAGCACTTGGGTCCAGGGAGCCAACAGCCTTGTAGTTGATCTGTAGGACAAGCCAGCAAACAAACAAATAAATGCCTTGCTCAGGAAGCTGGACTGAGCTCAACTGGAGGAGCCTTAGGGAAGCGGGGGTAGGGAAGGGAATGTGAGCTTGGCCAGCAGATTCTGCTAAGCTGCCTGTTGCTGTCCACTTTACAGATGATCCCAGCCTCCAAATACCCCATTGCTCACCCACTGGAGCAATGCATGTTCTCATTGATTTGTAGGAGTTAAAACTTAAAAAATAACTGAGCTTACAGAGATAGAGAGTAGAAGGATGGTTATCAGAGGCTGGGAAGGGTAGCAGAGGGTGGGGGGATGGTTAATAGGCAGAAAAAAATTGGAAGAATGCATAAAACTTCGTATTTGCTAGCACAACAGGATGTCCAGTCCAAAATAATTTAACCATACATTTTAAAATAACTAAAAGGATATAATTGGATTGTTTCTAACACAGATGATACATGCTCGAGGGGATGGACACCCCATTTATCCTGATGTGATCATTATGCATTGCATGCTTATATCAAAATACCTCATGTAACCCATAAACATATCCACCTACTATGTACCCACAAACATTTTTTTAAAAAGAAATAGAGGGTGAGCCACAGATGTCACTCTAAATTTTTTGATAGTCTCATGAAAAGAAGTAAAAAAAACAACAACTAATTTGAATAACACATCTTGTTGAACCCAATGTATCCAAGCTATTATCATTTCAATCCGTAGTCAACATAAAAATTGAATGGAATTGTCTACATTCTATACCATTCGTATAAAGTCTTACAAATATGTTGTGTCTTTTACTCCTTCAGCACAACTTCATTTGGACTAACCCCTGCTTTTCACAAGTGCAGTGGCCCTGTGTGGCTAGTGATCACTATGCTGGACATTGCAGTCACAGAGCAGTGTCAAAGTACAGTATCCCAGGGAGAGTATTTGTGAGTCTTGATAAAAATGCAGATCACGGGACCCATCTTCCACACAGATACAATTGCTGACTGGTGCTTTCTTGGGCATTATCTTTTTTTTTGCCTTCCTCAAATCCTTGGGGGCATCAGGATAGCTACTTTCATTTTAATAATGGAGAAACTGAGGTGTCATTGGAAGCCACTTGCAGGCAGTCAGCATCTTTCAAATTGTAGAGGGAGATAGTTTATCTATGGCATATGAAGACATACCCCATGTGACATAACATGTGAGTTCCGCAATAACCAAACTGGTCTACACCTGTGGAATGCTTTGTGTCTACTGTTCCTTGATCACACACTGGGTGCCACAGCAAGGTACTGGGAGAGGTTTGAAGTGCTCACTCTCAATTTCTGCACTTGCCCAAGGGTGAAAATAATTAACAGTTGGTATCCCAGCACCGGTCCCGTGGATCATGCTTGGAGTGTCACATCCTGAAATTACACAGTTGCAAAGTTGCAGACACAGGATTTTTTCTTTGTTTGTCTTACCTGGTTTGTTCCATTAAAAATGTTTAATTAGGCTAGGTATGGTGGTTCACATCTGAAATCCCAGCACTTGAGGAGGCCAAGCTGGGAGAATTGCTAGAAGCAGGAGTTGGAGACCAGCCTGGGCAACACAGTAGGGCCTGTATCTACAAAGCATTAAAGTATTAGCTGGCTGTGGTGGTGCACGTCTGCAGTCCCAGCTACTCAGGCACTGAAGTGGGAAGATGGCTTGAGCCCAGGAGTTCAAGGCTATAGTGAGCCATGATTGCACCACTGCACTTTAGCCTGGGTGACAGAGCAAGACCCTGTCTCAAATAAAAAGTTTAATTATGGTATAATATACATACAGAAAAGTATCCCTCTTGATAAATGTTTGAAAACTGGATATAGTCATATAATCAAAAGCCAAACCATTACCAGGTCCAGTACTTTTTCCTTACACTCCGCACAATCCTACTTGCCTACCCCCAACAGGGATCACCTCTGCCTGACTTTTTTTTTTTTTAAACAGGTTCTCTCTCTGTCACCCAGGCTGGAGTGCAATGACACAATCTCGGCTCACTGCAACCTCCACCTTCCCAGTTCAAGCGATTCTTGTGCCTTCTCCTGAGTAGCTAGGATTACAGGCGCATGCCATCACGCCCAGCTAATTTTTGCATTTTTATTAGAGACAGGGTTTCGCCATGTTGACCAGGCTGATCTCAAACTCCTGACCTCAAGTGATTCACCTGCCTTGGCCTCCCAAAATGCTGGGATTACAGGCATGAACCACCACACCCAGCCTACCTCGGTCTCACTTTTAACAGCATAGACTAGTTTTGTCAGTTTTTGCACTGTATATAAATGAAATCCTATGGAATTTGTGTTTTGGTTTCTGGCTTCTTTCTCTCAACATTATCATTACATCCATGGGATTCATCCATGTTGTCGTGGCCAGTAGCAAATAAGGCATTCTCAGGTACATTCAACAATCTATTGCTGACATTGCACTAAGCAGATCTGACTCTAAAGCCGGTTCTCTATTTTCTATACCACCCTGCCCGGCCTGGAGACGCCATGCGTCAGTCGAGAACGCATTCACTCATCTACTTACTTGCTCCTTCACATGTTTCCTGTGTACCCCTGTATTCTGAGCCCTGCACTGTGTGCTGCTGGGGCGGGGGCAACTGAATTCAAGTCAGGCCTTGTCCTCAAGTGATTTCCATTCTTGAGAGAGGGAAGCCAGCTAGATAGACAGCTGACATCACTTACCTTCTGTCAAGAATGGCCAAACCCAAGCAGAAAAGGAAGCACACCAACTTCTCTTGAAAAATAAGCAATTTGCTATTACTGGCAATGACACCAACTGTTTTGGAGAGAAGAGTGATTTCTCTCTCCTATGTTAAACAGTAGTGGTGCCACATCCTTAAGGAGAGGTCGGACTGCCCAGAGCAGAGTGCGCGCAGGAGGAGAAATGCAGGGAGCTGAGGGCTTTGGGCTTTTTTCAAGCAGCGCCTGAGCGTGCATGTGCACCACTCAGGTGGCTGCCAACTTCAGGCTGCTCTGGTGGGCCTGTCTACAGCGTTCCCTGTGGTCACCCCTGCCCACCTCAGTCCCTCTCAGAGGCAAGTGCTACAGGCGTCTATCTGCCTCTGTTTGAGGACTTTCTCCATGGGTGCTTGCTGGGAATGGGGGGGTAATTAACACCCCAGCCATGATGGGAGTTAATACACAAATTCTCCACGCTCCCCTCCCTTGACACCCCTGCAGACAACCCCTCCTTGGTATCCCTGCAGCATCCCAATTTCCCTGAGGGGCTCAGCTCCACTTGCCTCTAGAGGCAGCTGCTTTGACAACACAGTGATGATTGGCTACTTTCCTTCTCTTCCCCACCCTACACCTCTTTACTGGTGTTTCTTGAACTTCTCAGCAATCGGCTCACATTGAAATCTTTATCTCAAGGTCTGCTTCTGAGAAGGACCAAAGTAAGGAAAAGTGCTCAGAGAGGTATCTCAGGAGAGAGTGGAACTAATGCCCGAAGGACAATCCTGAGTCAAAGAGGAAAGAGTATTCTAGGTTCCAGGCAGAGGGAACCACCTGGGCAAAGACCTGGGGTGGGAAAGGGTTTGGACAGAGCAAAGGCCAGAGCCACCGCAGAGCGGGGAGCGAATAGGGGCAAATGGAGTTTTCATCATGCAGGTGGATTCTGGGTTCAGAGAGTTCAGCCTGTAGCCACCAATCCCAGTGGACCAGTGAAGAGGATATGCGCTTGCATTCTTTGAAAATTCTGTCCCTGTCCCCCTGCCTGCACTGGTGGCAACTACATTGATATACACACACTGGGAGGTGGAACTCATGCCTTATTTACTAGCCAATTCCTTTCCTGCGCTCCAAATTCAATCCAAAAGCAACTCAATTTCCACCAAGCTGTCAATATAATATACCGCGCTCCTCTGCTCTCCTAACCTTTCCTGGTATTACAGGATCCTCACTTACTTGTAATGAAACACTATGAATAAATCAATGTATGTTAATATAGCATGTCTTCAATTTTTTATGAAGGGCTTCGCCAAATCTAATTCCCACTGCTTTGTCAGAAACAGTCTTTGAAAAATTTAACTTGCAAGTTTTACGAAGTTAGTGGGAGATCGGGCTGGGGAGGGAAAGAAGAAAGATGAGAAAAATGGGATGGGATGGAGCTGTGGCTGTAAATGTGTAACACCATATGAATCTTCATTTGTAAGTGGGGAAAAGGGGAGATTTGTTAGAATAGCAAACATAAAGGGTTAGTAAGGGGATGGGTGCACAAGTGCACATCAACCCTGGGCTCCTGGCATAGGCTTTGGCTGCAGCAAGTACTCAAGGATGTCCCCCCTCTCTTTTAGTTGCTGACAGTAGGATCGGAAGCCAAAGCAAGTGCTTTATAATGAAAATCCAATCGTCATAAGAGCAATGGTTTCCCATAGCTCTCAGGATGAAGACTGTGTCTGTGTCACGTGGTCTTAATCAGCTCGGTGCACGAGCTGGCCTCTCTTGTCCCCTCCCCTACCACCCCAAGCCTCATTTCAGTACCCAAAAACAACGATGGTCCTTTCTGCCACAGGGCTTCGCACCAGCTGTTCTGTCAGCTTGGACCTCCCCTTCCTTCCCACCTTCCTTTTGCCCGATTCATGATTCCTCGTCCTTACCTAACCTCACTTACAGTGGCTCTGTTTATAGGCATCTTCGCCGACTCCCAGGTTCTCTTATTTTATATTTCCAGAATCACCTGTCTCTCCTTTGAGCCACTAACTTTCCACGTACCCATGTAGTTATTTCATCAATAAGTCCCTTTTCTACCAGCCCATGATTTGAAAAAAATATGACTTGCAAGTATAATTCAATCCACCATCTGTTTTTTAAGTAAAGCTTTATTGGAAAACAGCCAACCATTTATTTAAATGTGGACTATGGCTACTCTCACACTACAAAAGCAGAGCTAAGCAGTTGCAACAGATACCCTACGGCCCACATGGCCTAAAATATTTATTCTCTGGCCCTTTACAGAAAAAGTTTGCTGACCTCT